GGACCGCCAGCTCATGGTGTGTGTATGAACAGTACAAGTGGGCGGTTCAGTGTGACATGCCAATTTTAGCAACGTCGGGGTCGTTGTCAATTCTCCGCGTCAACTGCACGGCGTTGCCATAATTTCTGTCATCTGATTTCGCTCATTCAATTGTTGCGAAAGAAAGTGAAGTGAGCATTTACCAGAGGCCGGAGTTAGAGCTGACTTCAATTCTCATCATATTTAACTGACCACACAAGGCTGCTCCCAGCTATGAGCAATTTCTCCAGCATCTGTTTCTCTGTATTTCCTCTGCAAAGATCCTTCCTTCCAGATACCTCAATGACCTAATGAACATTCAGAGCAGCCGTGTGTGAACGACATTATAAAATAAATCATCAAACTAATGTGATGCTTTGTATGCATTCGGCGTTTGGAGCTCATTTTGTTAAGAAATTTATTGTGGCGTGCATTATGACCTAATCATCCTGAAAACTGACATGAAGGGTTAGCCGTGTCAAGTTAGCGCGTATGTTGTAATTGCAACAGTTTTATCTACAGGATGCCTTTCCTGATTTAACACCATAAACCTTTCACCTGGCTTCTACACCAGTAAATGTTTCAACATTTTTTTTAAAGGCTGGGCTAACTAGCGTACTACTAGTAGTATTATTATTATTAAGTACTAGGTTTAAGTTGGTGTTCGGGCTCGTCTTCTTGTAATATATTTTTACCAGTTTTACACATTAATACTTTATGCCTACATTGCAAAAGTCATGAAAAAGACAGAAGTGTGTCAACACAGTCTTTACCTCCGATTGACTTACACTGATATTTTACTGTTGACTGAACCAACAGTCATAATCACTCAACGTTACTCCACGTGTAAGGAGCACTTACACAGGAACACACCGAGCCGCCTATCATTTGTAACAGGTGCTCACAATGAAGAAAATTAGTGGCTACGTGATCAGAGGATCTCGGTGCTGTCAGTCCTGCAGGATGGAACTGTCACAAAGTGATTTTAGATACGAGCATCTCAGTGAGATCAGATTGAACAACTGATAGCTCCTCGACGTGTAGATCTGTCTAGTTCCTCCTCTGTCAATGTTGATTGACTTCGAGTCGTCAATGCCCTGATGATTAAACGCACAGAAAACACACCTTAAATCTCACTGCTCATGCGTCATCAGGTGCAAGTCTGCCCAGAAAATGCATGCCTGGGATCGGTGATGATGCCGAACCATCTCGTACGCAAACCAGATGACCTCAGAACCAAAGAGGAGCGACTCACGCTGGCCATAGACTTCATAGACCAGTACTACTCCTCCATCAAGAGGTGAGCTAACCCTGCTGTGTCTAAAGATAAAGAACGAGATGAAATACAGAGACGACCAGAATGTAGTGAGTAACCATAAACTGTTATCCTTGTTTTTCAAACAGACATAGCTCAAAGGCTCACATAGACAGACTGGAGGAGGTGACCAAGGACATCGAGACTACAGGAACGTACCAGCTAAAGGACACTGAACTGATTTATGGAGCCAAACATGGCTGGAGAAATGCTGCCCGGTGTGTAGGAAGGATCCAGTGGTCCAAGCTACAGGTAAGAGAATAGTAGCTAATGCTAAAAGCTAACACCGGTGCGAGTAGGTTAGTCCCAGAAGACTTTGTGGTCTGATTATCAAATTCACAGGAAATAGACAGGAAAATTAAAAACAGGAAAATTGGTTTGACACGTCTTTGAGTCTTACTTCTTTGACCAGGCTAAAAGCTATGCACGCTGTTACAAATCCACAAAAGATAATGCAACGCACCAGGGAAACTTCATGTGCATAATTTTTTGCGCCAATAACAATGACAGGTGACGATGAAACCACGGACGCTGCGAGTTATACCACGCTGTGACAAATCATCAGTCAGTCAGTCAGTCAGCTCAAATCAATCTATTTATATTGCCCTTTTCACACAAAGAGGAGGTAACGCAAAGTGCTCCATCGATCATTTATCAGAACTGTCAGCAGTAAGAAATGACTGGGACATGAAAAGTGTTATTTGGTATTTTTAAACCATCTTACTTTTCAGGTAGATTTATGAATTCTTAGTCGCCATTTTTTCATGCTACAGTTCCCTTTATTTCTGTCTGTTATCAACTCATGGTCAGTGGTTCCATGGTATAGTGCAGGGGTCACCAACCCTTTTGAAACTGAGAGCTACTTCAAGGGCACTTAGTAATATGAAGAGCTACTAATAATTAGTTGTGGGACATATGATGGTTGACAAGAGGTAAGAGGACCTCTTGTTGACTAGTTTTATTTTCAGAACATACGACATGGGCACAAGAGCTATCAGGTGCTCCTGAGCACCACATTGGTGACTCCTGATATAGCGGTTATCACACCTGCCTTACACACATACTTAATGGCGCCCCCTGTGGCAGGTTTTGTGAATTGAAGTCTTGAACTGAATTTCCCTATTGTAGGACCAATAAGGGAATTCAAAAGATTCTTTAATTATTGTGAAATAATTCCTGTAGTATTTCAAGGAAATTCTTCACTTTGGACATTGTTTTACAGTATATGAGAAAAAAAGATTTGCATTTGAAAGACTTAAAGAGTATGTGTTTTCTAAATTGTTCCTCAGGTGTTTGATGCTAGAGACTGCACAACAGCTCATGGAATGTACAACTACATCTGTAACCATATCAAATATGCAACCAACAAAGGCAACCTGAGGTAAAAAAAAACAAACAAACAATCCCTTTTTTACTCTGTACTTAGCATCTGCTTTCTGTTTTTTTTTCTTCCCCTTGTACGAGTTCTTTTGTCTTCTCCGTTCTATCCCTCTCATTCCTCTTCCCATCTGTCCCCTTCATGAATCTCATCAGCCCTCTCCATCCCTGACTACTCAGACTTGACCCACTCTCCCATCTGTCAGCGCACGCTCTGTCTCTTAACGCTGTATCTGACACTGTCTGCTGCCCGTCTATCTGTCAGTGTTACGACACCAATCACTGCCCTGTTGGCACAGTGGCAGACCTTGCTAACAAGCAGTCATTTGTCAGACCTGCACAGCTCTCGCTTACATTCTGCCAAGTCCTAATCACATGTGACATCGCATATTTACTCCTGAGATGATGGATGGCTCCCCACTCATTACTACACTTTGAGCCGGCCTTCGAAGGGACAGCTCACGCACAGATGTTGTTAAAAGCCAACGGGACGATGAATACAGATACACAGTTGAAAACAGGTTTTTGTCAGTGTCAAAGATTTCTATATATGTAAACAAACCAAAAGATTGCAGATTTATTTTCTGCAGGAGGGCTGAAAGATTTTATCAGAAAAAAAATCCAAATGTCAATTGTCTATGAAGATTCTCAGTCATCCAGGTCATGGTCAAGGTTGAAAAGTTCTGTTAGGCAACTGGACGTGAATTTTTTTTCTAAAAGAAGACGTTTCATCTTTCATTCAAGAGGCTTCTTCAGTTCCAAAGAATAAGGCTGCGTCAACTCTCCCCTGTTGAGTGGGCCGTTGGGGTCAAGTGTAAACAGTCGTTAGAAGACTTCGTCTTTGAGAAAATTTTACGTCCATTGCAAATACGCAGATGATGCATATTTTATCGTTTGTGGGTGAAGGTTTTCCTTTAAACCCAGAACTTAAATTACCAAGTGCTTGTGTTTTCGGAGGCTTCAACTTCAGGTCTGAGGCCTGTGTTGGACCAGCCTCACAGACCGCAAGGCAGTCAGTAAAGTCTATGACTGACACAAATGTTAAATGGATTGTGAGGGACCGTTGACTGATTAATATTGTTGATGACAACCACTTCACGGGCGTTTCTAAAGCAACTCATGACTCTGGCATCAAGTCAATCTCAAGATGCACATTAAAGGCTACAATCCAACATTTCCACAAAGCAACATTTTACGTTATACTTTTGCAATTCTATCATTTAGCAGACGGACATCTACTTTTGTTATGTTTTTTATTTCTTTCAAAAAAATGTACTGTAATTGTTTGACAGCCCTAGAATTTTTATTTCCTATTGATATTCTGTGAGGATTCTTGCCTGCCATGCGATAGGTTATGGGCTCCTATTCTACCTGAGAGTTGTCTCAGGAAGGACATCTGGTGTACATCTTTGCCAAATTACTACGCTGACTACTGCTGTGGCAACTGCTGATGAAGGGAAAAAGCTGAAAGAGACTCAGTAGTTATGTTTCAGTTGTCATAAATACTTCAGATGTAGAAGTTTCCCAAACTCTTTTGTACATTACAAGAAATGTTTTAATTTTCAAAAAGTACACATTGGGGTGGCTTACAGTACTGTCATTGTCATTACTGTCAATATATCACTGGCTCATGATCTTTGTTAGTACTGTAAAGTACAATTCACACAGTGGTTATGCCACATATACAGTATGAAGGTATACGAAGAAAGATTTTTAAAAAATAAGCTGTTGACAAAAATGATTAGCCTTTGATCCTAACATTGGGTTAGGTTTCATTATTATCGAGTCACAGTGACCCAGCTCGATTTTCATTGGCTCATTTTTAAACTTGACCTTCAGTAAGTATTTTAATCCTATGGATTTCCTTTTTAAAATCAGGCTTTTGTGCAGCCTACTGTCAATGTTTGTCTTACTAGTACCTAGAAAATCATGGACAGTTTCAAAAATACTTTACTACACTATACTGAAAAAACCCAATTACTACAGCTGTTACAGCTGTTGACTGTGAGCACGGCTGCATCCAATCCTCACCAGCTGCTCTAACCTCACAGTGACTCTACAACCAGCTTAGCAGAATTAACACTTCTAAATGGACGTGACACTACAACACAGATGAGATGGGAAGTTGGCTAAAAGTAGCTTAGCTGCGGCACCCACTGCCGTATGCGTCGTTTGACATAGTCTTGATAAATCCCTTTAGGCAGATGACGTGCATAATTCCAACCATCTGTTAGCATCTTTGTTGATTATCATACTTACATATTCATATAGATCATGTACTGCTGTGCATTGTTGCACAGTTTCTTTGAAGTATGCACAGAGACAAGTGTGCTTGGATTTCACCGCAGAATAAAAGTGACTTAAACAGATATAAAAATTGTAAATAGGTTCAATAGCTATTGTAATTATTATTTTTTGTTTGTGTTTTGCAGATCAGCCATTACAATATTTCCACAGAGGACAGATGGCAAACATGATTTTCGAGTTTGGAACTCTCAGCTGATTCGCTATGCGGGCTACAAACAGCCTGATGGAAGAATTCTGGGCGACCCTGCCAACGTTGAATTTACAGAGGTACCGAGAGTATCTATAGGTGTTTTTTTTTTCTAAGGATACCATATTCATGTGGAGAATAAGTGCATGTGGGTGAATTGTGGCTTTCAATCTCTGCAGATCTGCCTACAGCTGGGATGGAAACCCCCAAAGACACGTTTTGATGTCCTGCCTCTACTGCTGCAAGCCAATGGGAATGACCCTGAACTGTTCGAAATACCTGAAGATCTCATCCTGGAGGTGCCCATCACACACCCAAAGTAAGTGCTGTCTTTTTTCACTCACTAATGCAGTATACACAAGAGTTGTCCAATAATGTGAGATAATTGTGTGATCACAACCAGGAGTGTTATCATCTGTCAGTATTTTTTTCTTTCTTTGCAAGTAGAGCCAGAGCTCTAATAGAATCTATTACAATCATAATGTTCTCATAACATAATCTAGAAATACCCCCCATCTGCTGCTGTGCCAGTTCTTATGGTGACCATGAATAGCGGGGTGCGAGGCTTTGTCCCGTTTTATGCAAATGTGTTTATATTTGAGAAAATAGTTGTCGTTGAACGTAAGCCATGATGCCCTGGAGCTGTGAGGCATTAAGCTTCTGTACGGTATTACTGCTACTCTTCATGAAAACATACACAGATGCAGAGAGAGAGCCATCATTACTAGAGCGAGCATTTCAGAATCCCCTGACACACTGATCACTATGCCAGACTTACACAGAATTGGCATCTCTTTTCTTGCTAGCCTGCACTGACTGGGCCCTGGCTTTGGCAGCAGTTTGCCAGAGACTATGATCACTACACATCTCATCAAATGAGATTAGATCTAGCTCTGTAAATAATATATTGAAGGCAGTGTCACCACGTGTCCTGGATAGAGTTACAAGTAAGTTTGTGTTCTGCTGGCTCAGTTTTGCAGACTAAAGGTGCTTTCAGGTACTCTGACATGACAGTGGTTTCCAGTCCTCACTTCTTGCTCCCCCTCCTCAGGTTTGAGTGGTTCAAAGACCTGGACCTGAAATGGTACAGTCTGCCTGCCGTTTCCAACATGATGCTCGATATTGGTGGCCTGGAGTTCACTGGCTGCCCCTTCAGTGGGTGGTACATGGGCACAGAGATCGGTGTGAGGGATTTTTGTGACAGCTCACGCTACAACATTCTGGAGGTAGTGTGTCTTGCCAATATACAGTGACAGGCAGGATTGGAAGAAGGGGGAGAGAGAAGGACGCACAGATTGGGCTTTGTGCAAAGAGGAGCATGTGCTGTGTTACCAGATGATCCAATCAGGAAACCATTCTGTTTGTTATTGTGCACACTGAGAGAGACAAGCTGATTAAAAGCCTCTCTGTGCTTCGATGCACATGAATTACAGTATTGATATAAATGACAATGTTTACTTAGATACTACAACCAAACGGGTGTTTATGCCCTTACAGTACACGGCTGTACTTTGTATTGATCTGTGATATTCAGTGTCCTTCACAGCTAATAATTACAATTAATCAATTAGATTATCACAAAATCCTTCATTAGCGTTATTACAGACTTTGTCGTCTTGGCTTATTTTAACGTTTTCACACTGTCAAATGACCATATAATAATAACAACAACAACAATAATAATAATAACGATGATAATAATGCATATACACCTACCATTAATGCCTATTACTTACAGGATGTTGCTATCAAAATGGACCTGGACACAAGGAAAACGTCCTCCCTTTGGAAAGACCAGGCGCTTGTAGAGATAAACATTGCCGTTCTCCACAGTTTCCAGGTGAGGGCACCACAAGACTTTTGTAATAGCAAAATGCAGTTAACTCAGGCGGAGAGGTTCCGTTTAGTTTCCACTGCCATTGAAATCAGATAAGTAATAGGAACTATTATTCTAATGGCGTAGCAGTACTTGTGGGGAGATCCTTCCTGTATAAGCATCTCTGTTTTTGGGACCGTTGTGTTTGTGGGGACATATTTCAGGTCCATATTTTTTCAAGGTTTAAAATGTATGTTAGGTTTTAGTTTTAGGTTAGCTTTAATTGGCTATCATGTGTGATAGTTAGGCTTAAGGAAATGGGTACATGTCTGTGTGGAGTTCCCACAGAACACAAAAAAGTCTGTTACTTGTGGTTGCCAATGGTTATTTACTATAATTAATTAAGTTTTTTTATTGGTTTTCCTCTTTTTTTTAAGTCCTGCAAAGTGACCATAGTCGACCATCACTCAGCCACAGAGTCTTTCATGAAGCACATGGAGAACGAGTACCGTGTGCGTGGTGGCTGTCCTGGAGATTGGGTGTGGATTGTTCCTTCCATGTCAGGAAGTATCACACCTGTGTTCCACCAAGAAATGCTCAACTACCACCTCACACCTTCCTTTGAGTACCAGGTGGGCCAATTCATCATAAATCGCACCTGTATTATATTATATATTCTCTGTCTCTATGATAAGCTACATGTGAGCTACTGCTTCTCTATCTTTTCTTGCTTTTAAAAAAGAAGAATCCTTTAGCACGGTGTTTCCCAAACTGTCTTTTTTGGGGACCCATATTTTAAAAGTCGCAAACCTTTGCGATCCAAGTTAATAGACATTATTCACAAACTCCTGGAAAATATGATGCGAGATGACCCCCAAGAGAAATCTCTTGCAAACCCACCTGAGGGTCACGAACCAGTCTTTGGGAAACAATGCCTTTAGCACATTAAGAAAAGAAACGACCAACCTACTCGTTTCAAGATGAAACGACCTCAGATCGTACTGTATGAGGTTCTTTATCTGAGTATGAATTGAATTTTTTTTGCTGAAATTGGTTACAGTAATGACGATAATGATATTCATGGGAAGAAGTTAATTGGTGTTTTAGCGAAAGAAGATCACCACCCATTAAAGGCATACTCTCATGTTTACAAATTGGTTGGCCAATATGGTTGATTAAAGCTGTAATTAGTCAGAATTCATCACCCAAAGTCAAGGAAGAAAGGTTGGGTTGAACGCAAGTAAAATCTACATACGTAGAGGGCTTCACTGTAGAAAAGAAAAAATGCAGGAAAATTCCCATTTTCATTATCATATCTTAATGTCTAAAAATATCTCACCTATATTTCCTTTTTTTCTGTTGTGGTAAAGCCTGATGCTTGGCATACCCACGTGTGGAAGGGAGTCAATGGGACTCCCACCAAGAAAAGAGCTATTGGATTCAAGAAGCTCGCCAAGTGAGTGTCCATTCAACAGATTTTTATAAAGTGATATCTTTTTTTTTACTTGATGATATGATTTGATCGTGATTGTACATAAGAACAAGGAAATGTTTGAGTTCTTAGATACAGAGACACGCTGCATGTGGGATCAGTTAAAGCCACGCAAATGATCACTTCCTGACAAAAGTTAGACACATGGAAAGAAAGCTGATGCTCTCAGCAGTAAAAGTCATCCAATCAACCCCTCAGGGAGCAATCAGAGCTTTGTCTCTTTGTGCTTGTGTTATCACCATGTTTGTGTATAATATAATATAATTGCCTCAAGGATCAGATAAGCTAGGTAATCAAAATTGTTACACACTGACAAAAATGTTGGCTTCCTGATAAAGTACAACACAGTTGTTTGAGTGGCAGTACAAAGTGCTTTACTTGTTACCTGCCTGGCAAACAGATGTCCAAGAGTGATTTGTGTACTTGCTTAGTTATTTAAATTTTTTCGTCTTCTTTACTTTATGCAGAGCTGTGAAGTTTTCAGCCAAACTCATGGGCCACGCAATGGCCAAGAGGGTGAAGGCCACCATACTTTATGCCACAGAGACGGGGAAATCACAAGATTACGCCAACACGCTGTGTGAAATCTTCAAGCACGCGTTTGACCCTAAGGTACACTTGCATTCACTTTGCATCATTCTATCTGACCAGCACCTGATGTGTTGCCATACCAGCAGTAATAGTGCTTCCATAGTGTGACGGTTAACACACCTGCTCTTGCAAGCAGAGAGCAGAGAGTCCTGGATTTGATTCCCAGAGGCACCACATATGGCGCCTCCTGTGGCAGCCTGTGTTGGTTGCGAAGACTCACAAATTTCCCTATTGTGGGACAAATAAGGGTCACCATTATTATTATTGCTGCAGTGGAACCTCAAGATACGAGCATCTCAACATACGAGTATTCCAAGATACGCGCAAGCCAATTTTTTTCTTTGAGGTACAGATTTGTACCAACGCTAGGTGGCCGAGCACTCGGAGCAGCCCACGCCGCCTCACTCGTTCACTTCACAGGTTTGGCGACTTCGGTACGCATCTTCCGCGATATTGTGTTTGCGTTATCCACGTGATTTTCTCTGTAAAAATGTAAGCTAAGTTAAGTTAGATTAATTTGAAGTTTATGTAAGCTACGTAGTGTATGTGTAAGGTACGCTACGGAATCAAACCTTGAGTTACGAGTTCGTATCTTGAGCTTTATTATTGGAAAAAGGGGGTTACTCAAAGAGATCATCCTTATAAACCACCTTCTCTCTAGCTGACGAAGTCGAGCCGACGCCAGCTAGAGCAGAGGCGACGAGTGGGTAGAAAAGGAAAGTGTGTCTTTTGTCACATCTTCCTTTGCAGTTCTCACGAACTGAAGTGCTGCAGGTCAGAGGGAAGATTTGAGCGTGGAAGCTTTGAGCAGAGCAGTTGTTTAAGAGATCCTGCACCTCCCCTGGGTTCGAAAATCTGTTTATAAAAAGACAGAGAAAAGCAAATCATTCCCATGTTTTCCCTCCCGGTTGTATCTTATTGTCCCTTCAGAGGAGAGATTTGTGCATGCGACTGTGGGGATGTGTGTCACTGGGAGTGGGTGTGTGTAAATACATTGCAGGGCAGATGCTGACGCCTGGGGCAAATTTTAATGCTGTGTTTTTTTATGCCTTTGGTTGTATATCATAGTGTGTGAATTGGTGCGTGCATAAAATAGGAGTGCAACCCGTGGATGACAAACACCATCGTGTTAAATGGTATGCATCATGGATTCACACTGTGAGGCGGCAGCATATTATCATCTTGTTAGAGGTTAGGATGGAGTGGTCAATTACAGCCTCCTCCCCCTTCTCCTGCCAAGGGGTATGTGTTCAGCCCTAATTAACATTCTAAAGCTTTTTGTCACCAGAAATGTGCATCGTGGCGTCAAGATGGAGGTAAAAAAAAAATGCTAGGCAAGTGGAGGCTGTGAATAGCTTGGCATGGTGCCCTTTTTGTCTGCAGGTCATGTCAATGGACGACTATGACGTGGTCCACCTGGAGCATGAGACCCTGGTGTTGGTGGTCACCAGCACATTTGGGAACGGTGATCCGCCCGAAAATGGAGAGGTACTATATGTTTTTTTTAGGTAGTGCACCAACTCTTGCAGGTTTGCGTGTTATATTTAGTAGAGATGTCCGATATTAACTTTTTACCGATATGCCGATACACTTCATTTCCGATTGCAATGTAAAACAACATCAATATTAGGACACATTCCATTCTGTTTTTTTTTTTAAGGTTACATCAAACTCAGGGACTACGTTATCGGGTTCTCTTTTAAAACAGTAACAATTGTTATTGATATTACATAATAATGCTAATACTGGCTGATAATAACCGATACTATCTGACATCCATAATATTTAGCATCATGTTTGTCAAGTTACATAATATATGGAAATTACATTTTTAAATAAAATCTTTTTTTAGAAATTTGGAGGGGCTTTAATGGAGATGCGACATCCAACAACAAACAGCACAGAAGATAGGAAGTAAGTTCATTCCCCTAGCCTGTTTGGTGGTTGAATTTAAATCATTATAAACACTGTTCTCCTTTTTCGAACTTGTCATCCAGGAGCTACAAGATCCGGTTCAACAGCGTGTCGTCCTATTCAGACACCCGCAAGTCTTCAAGTGATGAACCAGAGGCCAGAACAAACTTTGAAAGCACTGGACCACTTGCTAATGTCCGGTAAGTGACACCAGACCAAGTCAATAATTAATGCTTCATTTGGACCAGTCACTTTCTATATTTTCACTTCCTTCAAATGCATTTAATACTGGGTGACAGTGAAGTGAAACTGAATCCCCTGTCATTGTGACACAACATACCACCGCACACCCAGTATGTGGGGGCGGTGGTATGCTCAGTTCACCTCATTGATATTCTGACATTTTGATATTTAATCTTTTTTTCAGCAGTAGTTTACTTAAAGGGCTAACCCAGAGAACCTATAAAACGGCATTGTTGTAGGTACTGTCTACAGAAGTGACAAAAAGACAAATCAGCTTTATTACTTATTGTAGATATACATACACGTAAACACAAGAACTTTGATGCTTTACATTAACCAATCCCCCTGTGGAGCAGTGGGTACTCTTAAAATCATCCAGGAATTTTAGGTACTAGCTCCAAAAACTACAGATCAATCCTCCATCTTTGGACTACAGGTTGTACAGGCATGTTGAGGTGAGTTTAATGAATTGGTAATAAAATTACTCCTGCAGGTATGAATTGGTTTGCTTTCCTAAAGTTCAACCAATCCTTTTCTGCAGAAGTGGCATTGAATATCTGATTCCATTCTCACGCAAATCCAGCTGCTTCTCACTTTGGCCTTCAGATGCAGGAATTATTCTTATTATTTTCAAGCAATAGGCAGAAGACAGGAGGCGGAGCTGGAGGTGGCAGAGTTAAAGATGCTAAGATTCTCTTTAGGAGTGACAAGAATGGACAGGATCAGGAATGAGGTCATTAGAGGGACAACACAGACAGGAAGGTTTGGAGAAAAAGCTAGAGAAGCCAGATTGAGATGGTTTGGACATGTGCAGAGGAGGGACAGTGGATACATTGGTAGAAGAATGTTAGAGATGGAGCTACCAGGTAGGAGAAAGAGAGGAGATATATGGATGTAGTGAGGGAGGACATGCAGATAGTTGGAGTCAGAGTAGAAGATACAGAGAACAGGGAGAGATGGAAATCAATGATCTGCTGTGGCAACCCCTGAAAAAAAAAAGGGACAAAGCCGAAAGAAAAAGAAGAAGATTCTTATTATTTTCAACTGAAGCTTGTGACCGGCATGTAAGACTTAAATCCCTGGTACTCTACCTGGATATCATGATCACGATCTACACTAAACCTTAGAAATTATCTTTGTTATGCATTTGTATAACCTGGTGTAAATTTAAGAAATGTGCTTCTGTTTAGAATGTTATATTTTTGCAGTGCCATTTACAGTGTAAAATTCACTTGAGTGGGTAAAAGACAAGTTGTTTTTTTTTTTAAAGTTTTTATGACAGTTTTTCTGCAGGAGTGTGTGTGTTTTCTATTACCACTGTCTATTTCACTTACCTTGTGTTTGCCTCTTCTAAGGTTCTCAGTGTTTGGCCTTGGCTCCAGGGCCTACCCACACTTCTGCGCCTTTGCGCACGCTGTGGACACGCTGTTTGAAGAGCTGGGGGGAGAACGCATCCTACGCATGGGCGAAGGAGATGAGCTGTGTGGTCAAGAGGAGTCTTTTAGAACATGGGCCAAGAAGGTTTTCAAGGTCTGATTGGTGGGCTGGGAGCTCTTTGGGCTTGGCTCTTTGAATGTCACTAAGGCTAAGACAAAATGTTCTAAGACAGGTATTTTAATTAGAGAAAGGTTTGTGATTTGAATAATTAAACATCTTTAGATGTGTCTTTATTTGATTAGGTTGAATCGGCAAGTAACATTTTTTCAACTAAAGCAAACCATATATTTTGATATACCATATATTTATTCTGATGTAGCTCCATCTCATTGTTTTCTTTTCCCAAAACTGACTACAACGAAGACATTCCATAGTGGAAACGGCACACCCAAAAGTGTTTAGACTCAAATTCAGACTCAGTATATTGAAAAATATATTTTCTTAGAACATTTGACTTACCCTTTTATAAGTGACATGTCTGTGACTTGATTGATGATTCAATGATTTGATTTCTCTTTCACAACGACAACCCGAATCAAAGCAAAATCAACTACTCACTTCTGGTTAAGGTAGTACTGGAGTTGGGTTCTTTCCAAAGACATTTTACTCCACGGCTGGGTCAACTGAGAGTATTAAAGAACTGTTACTCTTCTCTTTTTAGCACGCTTTATCTTTGTTCAAACTTAAGGCTGCCTGCGACGTCTTTTGTGTTGGCGATGACGTCAACATTGAGAAAGCCAATGACTCTTTGATTAGCAATGATCGCAGCTGGAAGAAAAGCAAGTTCCGCTTGACGTACACAGCAGAGGCACCGGTGCTTACACAAGGTAAATGAAGTAACAAACAATGGCAAGGTTAAAATCATGACCTCCTGTTCCAAGGTTTTATTACATGACAAGTTTATTTGTTGCTGATTTCTTGAAAGATTTACACTTTCCTGTTATAACCAATACCTGGATAAAAGTATTTAGGGTTTTAAACCCCTCAATTGATCACCCAGGTTTTCCTCAGATTTCAACTATACAGCATTTTTATTCCTGATCTTAAGTTTGACGGGTAAATGTGTGACATGGTACCACATACATCTCCAGTCAAGTCTTGGTCCAAGGCCTTGTGACCTGCAATTGCCCCAAAACAAACAACGTCCAAAACAGAAAATATTGTTGTACTAAATCTATGGGTTGTACCAAAAATCATGAATGTATATAATAATGTACAGTAGTGAACAACTGTTCAATTGATACCGAAGTGTCAAGAATTTGTTTTGATTCTGATTCTCCTGTTAACAGCATTACACGTAATTCACAAGAAGAGAGTTTATGCAGCAAAGATGCTGGAATCACAAAATCTACAAAGTTCCAAATCTAAGTGAGTACACAGAGAATATACACATAACATGCTCCATGTAGATTTGTATTGTGTGTGTATGCACTCGATGGAGCAGACTGAAAATGTTGCACTTCATCCATTATCTCTTTTTTAGTCGCTCTACCATATTTGTGCGACTGCACACAAACAACCACGACAAGCTTAGCTACCAGCCCGGCGACCATCTGGGCATCTTTCCCGGCAACAACGAGGACCTGGTTATGAATCTCATAGATAAATTGGAGGATGCTCCACCTGTCAATCAGCTAATCAAAGTTGAGTTCCTGGAGCAAAGGAATACGGCACTGGGTAAGTGATGCTATTAGCTAAGTCACACTAGTTACATGAAATTAGATGGCTCATACTTGTGTGAGCGCTCCAGGGTCACAAGCATTATTAAAGTGTGCAGTATGGGGTTGGAGGAGGGGGATTCTGTGTCTAGTGGTCTCAGGTGAAATCTTTGGAAACAAAAAGATATTTATTCGCAATCTTAACACTAACTAAAAGTGAAATTAAATGAAAGTGAACTATCATGATCTTTGTCATTGTGACACAGCACACCAATGCACACAACGAAATGTGACCTCTGTATTTTACCCAGCTTAAGCACCTGGGGACAGTGCCGTGCTCAGAGCACCTCAGTGGTAACTTGGCAGCTGGTGGACTCAAACCTCTAACTGTCCAGACCAAAGACCTTAACTACCCAGTCACCATTGCCCTAAGTGTAGCAAAGAAAGACTGTTAACTACCACTGCTCGTAATGATGTATATATGTGTATATATATATATATATATATATATATATACAATAGTGAAGGTAGCGTAGGATGGTCTGTATTGTAATTTGTTTTTTGGGCAACACCATCTTCATATCATTCACTTAAGTGGCCGTGGTAAGTGTAGATAGTAAGTTACACAGTTTGTTACCATAAACCTTTCACAGCTTTCCCAACTCCTACCTCCTATTTAATTTTAGTCTTGTCAGGTGTCAGTGACAAAACTGAAAATCTTTCCATCAACTCCTGAAAACATGCTCTCGTACTATTTTAAGAGAATGTTCCACAGTGAACATTGTGAACATGGACCTTGTGGTATGGCCATTCTTCTGAGAAAGAGCAGCTATCTCCAAATCTTAAGGACACAAGATTTACTAGGTTCCTGGGCAAGATTTGATAATCCCCAAGTCTCCCCCTGGTCTCTTGTATCATGCAAAAAAAACTGCATATGAAGTCACGATATGAAGATACAAGTGTGAGTGAAGGGTTCTTTTTAAATATTTGTGGAAGGGTCCAAATGAAACTGTCTTGTAAAGCTCATTGAGTAGCCCTCAAATCCAGAGAAGAGAAGTTTAAATACTGATAAAATACTTTTCTTGTTTACTCATGTTTTTTGTTGCTAATGCCTCTTTGACTTCACTTTTTACAGGTGTGATCAGTAACTGGACGAAAGAATCTCGTATTCCTCCCTGCACCATCGACCAAGCCTTCCAGTACTTCCTGGACATCACCACCCCACCAAGCCCTGTGCTCCTGCAGCAATTTGCTGCTCTGGCAACTAATGATAAAGAGAAGAAGAAACTAGAGGTCCTCAGTAAGGTAATCCCACTCACAATCTCTCTGGGTTATAACAAATACTGAAATACTGACCTTAAGGACTGAGGTGCTTTGACCTCCGATGCTACCGCATTGAAACTGGCTCTGGAACTGTCCATGAACTAATGAGGTGGTGTACCAGTTTTATGTAAGATTATGTTCTGATGCACCCGACGTCAGGGTGTGTAAGAAAACCACAATGATTTATGATACATTGCGTTAAGCCTCTGAGTCATACTTGAATTTAAATTTCTTGCAATTTGGATACTCACCTTTTCCCTTCTTTGAGGTACTTTGCAATTAGCAAAGAAAGATATTTTTTAAAAATCTAGCTGTGGTATGGTATCAAGGAACCAACAGCCCACTGAAGGTCAGAGACCCAGTGTTTGGGCATTGAATATCTGTAGCCAGTATAAGCTTTATGCTCAACAGCAATCAACACAGTGGCGCTTTGGCCCAGAGGCACTGTCTCTGTCATTGGTGTGGAACCCCAGGGTTCACCTCCTGGGCAAGTTCGAATCCCGGTTAGGGCGGTTGGTACCTTCCAGTGGACTCACCACCCGCAGGAAGGTTTGGTATGGTGCAATGTGATTTGGGTGGCGACTGCTGCCCCCGCGACCCGGTAACGGATAAGCGGATGAAAATGGATGGATGGATGGGCAATCAACACAATCATCACGTTTGCTAACTTGATATGGGACTGTGAGTTGTTTTGATCCACTCCGCATCAATGGAGTTAAGGAGTAAGACTGTACGGCTAGTGCCAAATTAAAACTGTCGCTCTTTCTAACCCATAGTCAATCTTACTTTACAGCGCCTCCCAGAGCTCAATCTTCATTTTTGTCAACACATGGAAAAGGCCATGGAAAAGGCCAGGGAAGTGACTCATGCTGTATTTCCATACAGACTTCTGAATTTTTGGAAGAAGACACAGTAGAGTAGAAAGGGGCACTGCAGATTAGATTTTTTTTTTATGTGCTAAATCTTGACCATGTTTCATGAATATAGAATTGTGTTTCTCTGACTTTTCTAATCATTTTATTATGGAAGCAAATCCATAGTAAACTTTAAAATGGGGTAAATAATCAAATTTTTAGTGAAAAGCTCTCTGACAAAAAAAAAAAAAAAAATCAGCGAGCACAACAACAGGAATCAGAGGACTTTCACTTTTAGACCTGTAAACATATCTGACTCAAAAACAGGAGGCGGCCACAGACACAGCACTTCACCAAACCCCATCTGCCGCTTTGTTTATCATGACTGACATGTGGAGAGAAGGAAATTGCAGACTGAGCCTTAAAAAAGACAAATTATTTTTCTGCACTTTTATTTTGGAGATACTAATTAACCACTGGATGCAGATGAGGAGTCCTGTTGTTTGAAGCACCTTAACAATAAACAGTTTAACAAACCAAACAAACAAATTAACCAACCACACGTAAGGATGTATGAGTTTGCAATTATTTTTTTTATGAAAAAACAAAACAAAAACAAAACTCCATTAATTAAAAAAATAAAAATGGGGTTTGGTGAAGTGTTCTGTCTGTGGCCGCCTCCTGTTTTTGAGTCAGACATGTTTACAGGTCTAAAAGTGAAAGTCCTCCTCCGCTGATTTCCTGTTGTTATGCTCGCTGATAACGTAGGTCTCTTAAGCTCAACGGTACTTTTTTTTTAGACCACCGTGCATAACAAAAAAACAAATTAAAAACACTTGAAAAATAAATGAGCAACTGTCTATTAAATGGAATTAAGCAAAATTCAAAACACAAATGTGCATCCGTCCTGTTTCTCCTCTCAGGGTTTGCAGGAATACGAGGAGTGGAAGTGGTACAACAACCCAACCCTGGTGGAGGTGATGGAGGAGTTTCCCTCCATCCAGATGCCGTCCACTCTGCTGTTGACCCAGCTGCCTCTGCTACAGCCTCGCTATTATTCAATCAGCTCTTCTCCTGACCTACACCCAGGAGAGATTCACCTCACGGTCGCTGTAGTTTCCTATCGAGCCAAAGGTAAGGACCTCCTTGTGAGGCACACCTTGTGACTCCTACCAAACATTATCTTGCATTTCGCAAACTAGGTAAATGGACAGAGAATAACGAGCTACCAAACACGATGATGAACAGTAGTTGCCCGAATTTGATTTTTTTTAAATTAAAAATATGTGGGAATTGCAGTGTGTCATCTGCATATAGAGTACGTACGTTGTGTATTATATGGTCCCCCACCTCTGCAATAAGCATCCACTTTTCTCAGCCAATAGATCATCAACGGTGACTATTATTTCCCTCTCACACATGGAATGCTTATTTCAAGTAGGTTAGCATGATTGTACAAGGGAATGGTGAATTACTGTAATTTCCCTTTTAGAGAGCAAAAGTGTCGAAATTGGCCTGGCCCTGGAAAACACACACATCCTCTCAACACACACACACACACACATTCATGTCTTTAACGCTCTGAAACAGAAGCAGAGGAACAGGAAAGACTACAGGAACAAAGTGTATTTTATTGTAACTGTCTGTTTCAGATGGCGCTGGACCTCTCCACCATGGAGTGTGCTCTTCGTGGCTCAACAGGATAGAGAAAGGAGAGATGGTGCCGTGTTTTGTCCGAAGGTATGTATCGCAATCTCTTTTCTCAGAGAATTCCCCGGAAGGGTCTGCAGAGCACTGTCGTGTGTTTGACAATTAAAGAGCAAATCTGAAATGCTAACCTGAGAAGCTAACAACCAATAGCTCAGCAAAAACAGACACTGAACAAGGAGGAGCAAAACGGATACTATTTGCAAAAATGGACAATCTGGATCCTTGAGAAGTGAATGTTTTGTCAGCAACAATGTGAAGAAAAACAACTGTCACTAAAGCAAAAAATAAATAAAGCAGTACAAAAAGATACAGTAGCAGGCTACCAGGTAAAACAAAAAGATGTGCTAATAAGACGCGAGAGTCTTTGAGAGCAGTCTTCTCTTTTCAGGTCCCGCGTTAACAAGAATTGGACTAACAGAAAACCTCTAACTCTTCATTGTTGTCGTTCCACCGTCTCTGTTACTAAGCAACTGGCTGGTCCCTGCCACGGAATATTCGGACACATTTACTGACAATACAATGTAGTCAGTCACTCTTAGAGTTGCTGGTTTGCCTCCAAGGACGCAGATCACAGATAAACTGAGTACAGATCCAGGATATGTTGGACAAAAGCTGTCGCAGTCACCAAGCAGCTGTAAAGGTCAAAGGGCCTGACAATGGATGATACCCATGGATAAAAAATGAGAAAGATAGAGAAAGGGAGGTGGAAAGACAAGGACAGATAAGCAAATTTTAAAATGAAAACTACTGTATTTTTGAATGGAAGCTCCTGCAGGGGGTGCTATAGACAGGGTTATTATACCTTGGACTATAAGTTGAGTATGTTATTTCCATGGTCATCATGCGTTTCTTCTTCTCACCACCAACCTTACCACTCACTCTCTTAGGACTCATCACTATTATGAAGAATAATGCGCAAAATAGAGAGAAGATCACATAGATAACACAAACACAATACAGAAGACCCACAGGAGATGCGTACAAAAGTCGTCGAACACGTGAAGTGAACGAGTGAGGCTGAGTGCTTGGCGTCTGTAAGCCTACTTGTATCTCAAATCTTTACCTGAATCTCAAAGCAGAAATTGGCTCAAAGGCTTGCTCGTATCTCGGAATGCTTGAATGTCGAGACGCTCGTAATATATATATATATATATATACTTAGATACTTATTACTCATACACGCTTTTTCTACCCTTCTCTACCATGAGATTTTTTTTATTTGAAACTCTCTTGTATTGTCAACCTCTTGTTAGAGCAGTTACTTTGAAATGTTTTTCCACTTCGAACAAAGTCAAAAAAGAAAAATCAGACACACTAAATTCGAACTCTTTACAAAGCGTAACTAATTTTGACAGGTTTGTCACGGAAGTGTGGATAAAAAATTTATATTTCGTTTGATTTAAATTTTGTTCTTTTCCGAGGTATTAAAACTGCATCACGCCATGCGACACTTCACAAAATTTTAACGCTAAATCGTTTTTAACCAGTGGGAGACTTTAGAAAAGTTATGACATGTTATGACAAGTCAAGACATGTCTCTTTTTGACTAACTTTTTGACTAACTGTGGTACTTTTCAATTCCCTCCACTCCTCAAACTTCTGCTTCTAAGTTATAGTGTTAGCACTGTGGAACATTTTCACCGAGAGGTTTTGTTGCGACTACTTGCAGTACTAAGAGTATAGGAGCGTATTCTGGTCATGTACAATGACAGACGTTAACATGTGTGTTTTAATGTTGCCCTTTCAGTGCCCCATCCTTCCAGCTTCCCAAAGACAAGCAGGCTCCTTGTATCCTGATTGGTCCAGGAACGGGTATCGCCCCATTCAGAAGCTTCTGGCAACAAAGACTGTTTGAACGTGAGCACAAAGGTTAGAGGAGTTTTATGCACTACAGTAAAAAAAATTTCAAATATACAA